AAGCTACTCCTGTGGATTTAGGGTTGGCATAGCAGCTGCTCTTTGCATATTTCACCTTCCTTCACATGACAGCATTTACAAGGTACTAGAGTATATTTACTTTGGGGAATTTCAAAGTTTTCTAGATTTTTCTTCCTATTATTTGGGTACATTACTGGGAGGAAATTGCTACCTCCTGACTAGTGCTAGTAATATACCAACAGTGTTAAAATGCATAATTTGGTCCATGATGGTTTCAGTGTCAATTTATCTGTCAGTGGCAAATTTATCACCACAGATATTGAATTTTTTATTAGGTTTGCATTACCCTTTCTGGATAATGGTAGGGGTTGTTGATTTGGGTGAATACCTAGTCACTAATTATGAGATTAGATACTGGCCCAAGAGAATTGGAGGTTTTTTCATTGGGTCTACAATGGCACAGGCTTTGGGTATGGAATTAATACTGTGGCAAGTACATGATATTTGGAAAATTCTTGAATCATTCATTGGTTTGGTTTTTATAATCTGTCTAGAGTATATGGGTTATCAGAAGGTAAATTCTAAAAACAAATTATTCAACTGTGTGGATCTTCGAACAAGTATCAAAAACAAAAAGCTTGGGAAGAAAGGCATTCCAATCCACTTACATGTGATAGACTTTGCTGGTGATGCAGTGTACTATGTAGCCAAACAGATTCTCATGCCTCAGAATGCCATCTACATAGTTGTCTTTGACTTTGTAATGGCTAAAACAGACTTTGGAAAACAACTTGAAGACCTTGTTTACTGGCTAAATCTTGTTTCTAGTCATGTTCATATAGAGGGATCTGTTCCCTCAGTTTTTATTGTTGGTACACACAGGGACAGTGTTGACAGAGATCTAAGAAAAAACATTGCAAACGAACTTACAAAACATTTACAGAAATCATGTAAATTCTTGGTTCAGAACAAGAATTCAAGCAGCTGTTTGTATGGCACACTTGTGTTTGAAGTTGAGAACAAAGTTAGTTTGGCTGAGGATGATGAGGCTTGCTATGTCAAACAAAAAATAATCAATACTGCTATGGAATTGTCCTTCTTGAAAGAAAAGGTACCCATCAAATGGCTGAAATTCCCCAAAGTACAAGAAAGACTTATGAAGTCTGGTAAAAGTGTGATAACACTCGCAGAACTCAGAGAGGAAACTGAAGATTTTGTGCCAGACGAAAATGATTTTAAACAGATGATACATTTTTTTAACCGCCGTGGAGACATCATACATAAGAATTCTGGAGACTACCATAAACAATATGTTGTCCTTGATCAGACTGTCCTCATAGACACAGTTATTAAACTGGCAACTTTCAGCAACAAGAAAGGGTGTGTTCCCCTCACAAAATACACTTTGGAAACTGCAGTTCAAGTGACAAAAATACAGCCAGAAATCATGGTAGATCTCCTGAAAACATGCGAGCTTGTGATTGAATACAAAGAAAGAGGGGAACGGCTGCTGGTGCTTCCTAACAGACTGCCAAAGTACGAGAATGGTTCCTCTGGCAGAGAGCGCCCTCTATGGACTGACAAGGAAACTGACCAACATGTCTACATTGACATGAAGAATACCAACAGACACTCTGCTCAGAATGTCTTCCTGTGTCTTCTGGTGAAATGCCACACAGCATCTGGAGAAAGCTACTTTCTTGATGATGCATCAGATCCTTTGATCTACTCTAACATGGCCAGGTTACACTATCACCCTGATATGGAGGGACAGCAAACCAGTCACCCCTACAAGTTAACAGTGCTAAACCCAACAGCATTCCAGAATGTGATACAAGTTACCACCAGAGGTACACCAGATATGGCCATCTACGGCATTCTGAGTATGTTACACAGATTTCTTCAAGAGCTGAGACAAGATTTTCTCGACATGGGATACATCATGGGACCAGCAGAAACGGAGGCCCTAGACTGTCGCCACAACAATCCTCAGGTATCATATTTTGCTAAAATCTCTCACATAGTGTATTTATCTCTCAGTAATTAGTCACTTAATGAATCTACTCATAACCACATTAACTGTCAGATTTCTTAATACAAGTATCTTATTGTGGAAAAAACAATAATTTTGAAGTTCTGTCAGTAAAATGATATAACAGAAAAACAACTGTCATATGCAAGTTGATCTGGTCATTCAAAAACATCATATTTTAGAACCATATCCATGTGTATGATTTGGTTAATGAGAAGTCAAAGGAATTTCCATCTGGTGAGATTTCTATCTGCTGTCCCTGTACCACTGGCACACCCATGACTGTACATGTCCCTGTACAGGTAAGTTGTCCCTGTACCACTGGCACACCCATGACTGTACATGTCCCTGTACAGGTAAGTTGTCCCTGTACCACTGGCACACCCATGACTGTACATGTCCCTGTACAGGTAAGTTGTCCCTGTACCACTGGCACACCCATGACTGTACATGTCCCTGTACAGGTAAGTTGTCCCTGTACCACTGGCACACCCATGACTGTACATGTCCCTGTACAGGTAAGTTGTCCCTGTACCACTGGCACACCCATGACTGTACATGTCCCTGTACAGGTAAGTTGTCCCTGTACCACTGGCACACCCATGACTGTACATGTCCCTGTACAGGTAAGTTGTCCCTGTACCACTGGCACACCCATGACTGTACATGTCCCTGTACAGGTAAGTTGTCCCTGTACCACTGGCACACCCATGACTGTACATGTCCCTGTACAGGTAAGTTGTCCCTGTACCACTGGCACACCCATGACTGTACATGTCCCTGTACAGGTAAGTTGTCCCTGTACCACTGGCACACCCATGACTGTACATGTCCCTGTACAGGTAAGTTGTCCCTGTACCACTGGCACACCCATGACTGTACATGTCCCTGTACAGGTAAGTTGTCCCTGTACCACTGGCACACCCATGACTGTACATGTCCCTGTACAGGTAAGTTGTCCCTGTACCACTGGCACACCCATGACTGTACATGTCCCTGTACAGGTAAGTTGTCCCTGTACCACTGGCACACCCATGACTGTACATGTCCCTGTACAGGTAAGTTGTCCCTGTACCACTGGCACACCCATGACTGTACATGTCCCTGTACAGGTAAGTTGTCCCTGTACCACTGGCATACCCATGACTGTACATGTCCCTGTACAGGTAAGTTGTCCCTGTACCACTGGCATACCCATGACTGTACATGTCCCTGTACAGGTAAGTTGTCCCTGTACCACTGGCACACCCATGACTGTACATGTACCTGTACAGGTAAGTTGTCCCTGTACCACTGGCACACCCATGACTGCACATGTCCCTGTACAGATAAGTTGTCCCTGTACCACTGACTTGCAATCCAATTAGATAAAAATCAGGGACAGACTGATAGCAGAGTGCTACTGAGACAGCTTAGCTTGAGTACAGGATTTCATTTCTAACTGTTTTGCCTAAATATTTTTAAAAGACAGTTGGAGACGATTTCTCCAGTACTGTATTCAAATTTGAGGTTTGTATTTCTGAAGTAAACTTAAAGTCCTGAAATGTAAATGACTCTGATAAAGCAATAGGAATTAAATTCAGACCTTTTAAATATAAAAATAAACAGAAACTTAAAGTGTTTACCATACAATACATTTTAACAACCAACCAATCAATCAGTGGTTGTTACTAGGTAATTGCATTTTGTGTTCTTCATTTTAGGATCATAAAGAAACAGAGACACATTTCAAAAATCTAAAAGCCAATTGGAGTAGTTTTGAAGATCAGCTCAACCCTATACCTGTTTTGTCCTACCTTTTGGAAAAGAATATTCTAGCTATACATGATAAAGTTGCTATTGAAAATGCATACAAAACTTCACGGAAAGAGGGGTGCTCTGAACTACTTAAGAGATTGTGTGAATGTTCTCCAGAAAAGGACCCTATACATCATTTCTGCATCGTTTTGCATGACAAAAGTTTCTTACATCTTGCTGATCTGTTGGAGCCACCTCCAGACAATGCAGATGACACGGCAGTGAAATCGCTTTGACACTGTCAGTTGAAAATGAATGTAAATCTGCAAAAAGTGAATACACATTTGATAGCCCTTAACGTTCAAAAGTCAAATGGGCTGTAATGTTATAGAAGATGGTTATTTAAGATGGTTTATTTGTGAAACGATTTGTGTTGTTACCTTAATGCCTCTAAAAGTAATATATTAATCAGTTCAAACTTGGTGGTAGTCTCATTATTAACGCATTGTAGACTGTTACATGTGGAGTGTATGTGACAGAAATGGGAGTACACTAGGAACTGTATTTAATTTCCCTCTTCTAAATTATACAGCATATTATCTCAGGGAGTGGGTTAGGAATGGTGTGTTGCTTGTTTCTATTCTTGACTTATGAGAAATTACCCAAAATCTAGCGAGTGTTGCATAGTTTTCTTTGTAATGGAATAAGTCAAAGTAGATTTTTTTTTAATTCTTTTTTTTTTTTAATACCATTTACACTGGATATACAAGCAAGTCGGTTTTGAAGATATATAATTTAAAGTGGAAGTTTTTTCTTCACATTTTTAGTCCAAAAGTTCACAAATCATGTTTCTTACTTTTTCACTCATATCAGTGGGAGATATCCATTTTAGCGTGTCTACTGTGGCCATGAGATGGTAATTAATATTTTCAGATAGATATTTTAGTTTGACCATGTTCAGTAATATTATCCAAGATTTCACAATTGTATGGAACTGTTTGCTGAATTGTAGGTGTAGGTCATTCACTAGGGTATTGTCAAGGAATAACTCAGATTTCAGTCTGTCAGGCTATTGGCAAATCAAGTATTTGAAAAGTTTTTCACTGAGAGAAAAGGGGACTAAACTTATAAATGGAAGAAATATTTTAATGCCTAATCTTTAACTTCAGATGAGCTCATGGGGAAGCTGCTTGACCTTGTGAAAAGAACGCTTAAATAAAGCTTGTTAAGATACTATCAGCTTGTTGTTTTATTTACAATAACTACTTACATTGACCCCAAAGTGTTCTGAGATTCCTTTTCCTGTAGCACCAAGGACTCCGAATGAGAAGCTCTCTTCAACAAATAACCTTACTTTGTACTTGTATTTAAATTCAATCTGAAAAAAATGAGACATATTAGGCAGTCTTTTACATGAACACAGCAACTACAAACTACCATTTTTCATTTGCTTCAACTATCATTCTATAGTAAATCATATTTTCATATATGTGCTGAAAGGTCCAAACAAGCACATTTCACGTTTTTATACTGAAATTTTTCTTCACGAACTACACTATTATGGACAATTTACTAGATGAAGTTCAGTAAATCTGTTTTCAATGATAGATCTTACATAACCAAGATATAGTTACCAGCTGAGGCAGTGGACACAAATCTCCATAGTTAGTATACAGCCCCTCCACTACTAGGAATCTTCTGGTGGCTTTGGCTTTCTTAGGATTCTAGAATGTACACAGATTTCCAAATGAATTCCTATTTTCAACATTTATTCATAACGTGCATATATCCCACCAAACTTACTCTGTTATATACCAGGTATTAACCAATACTAGAACAAATTTTCAAAGAATGACGAAAAAGTGGGAAAAATATGGATATAATGTTTTCCAGGTTTTGTTTTCTTTGAGGAGAATGTTTATTAAGAGTGGACAATTAAAAGTACAAAACTATCTCAGATATGACATACAAGTTTATCTTTGGCCTGCTGCTCCTGCAGCAGTCTCTCCAAGTCGTTCATATCATTGTGTTTGAAGAACCTGAGGGACGACCTGGAGGCAGACAACCCTTTCTGGATGGCAAAATTCACACCTTCGTCACTGGAGAGACAAAAAGTTGAAAGACTTATTTTATTACATAACAGCAGAGTAAAATGCTCTAAGCATACTTTTTCTTGGCTGGCAAAAAAACACATGCATTGCATTTAAAATCTAATTTTCTTTTTTCTATTAAATGGGTATATTCTTCCTTTTTTTTTTTTTTTTACAATTTTATCACAGAGAGAATACATGGTCAATCATTCACAAACATGAATGCAAACCATCACAAACAAATTATATTAAAAGTATGAACATTAGTCATTCACTTTACATTTCATCTTTTAATACCAAACCACCACAAACAAAATATATTTTCTTCTCTCACCAAAATATAATATCCCCTCTCTTAGAATAGGCAGGTATGGCACTAGCCACGGTGGCAAAGCCATAAGCATACAAGATGGCCTCCTCGCACTGCATGAACTTTGCCAGGCGGTCCTCCAGTTCAAGGTGGACATCTTAATGAAGAAAAAAAAGAGAGATGAAAACAAAACATTAAATACATTAGAATTTATATACAACAAACAGTTTATCCAAGGGATTTTGTCTTTAAGCATTTTCATACTGAACGTTCTATCTTTAGCCTTGTTTTGAGAGATTGACAGGTTTATAGCTCAGTCATCTATATCATACGTTAGCCTAGCTTTCTTTTTTAACTTTGAATATTTAATGTGGGACAAACATCTTTTAACCAGGGGGTCCATGGGCTGCCTTCAGAAGTGAATAAAAAATTACAGAATTCTGTAATTCAGTACAAAACCTCATGACTGCTATAAAGAGCTCCCATACTTTGTGTGGCCAATAAATAAACACTAACTATCTAATTTCCATAGAAATTACACCCAAACAGAAGGAAGTAAACTTGTGAAAGAGGGTTAACTCCATTGTAGGGTTATTACATGGCTGAGGCTCTCAAAACATAACATGAATATAGAACATAAGACATGAAGAGGCCTTAAATTTCTTTACTACAAATGAGACCACTTGCCTATGTCGATTGTCTTAATGCAAAAAAAGTATCAAAATTTAATCAACATTGATAATGGACGTACTTATATAATATTGTACCTAAAAACATCTATGATAAAAGGACAGTTTAGCACTGTGTATAAATTGAAAGAATCACCTGCCATATGAAATGATATTTTGAAGTTAAATAACATTCACATAAATTCCTCTGCATTAACATTTAATATGTGCAGATCATCACCACTGCTGCCTTACCCACTGTCCCATAGAACCCGCGTGGACCACATGACCCAACGCCATACTTCCTCAGGGACTTGACAGCAGCCTCCTAAATACAGTACAAAATACTGGTCAGAAATAAAGCAAGTTAGAAAATAAATTGAAAAGGGGGATAATATTGCAAACTGGTAATTCTTAAAATAAATGACATCTGAATCTTGTCAATCTTATCTTGAATGATGAAAAAAGCAAATAAGTCATAAAAAATTTACAGAGTGAATTTCAATGTACAAACCTGTAAAATTTCCAATAATAAACATGTAAATAAAAATGTAGACATTAATTATAGTGTATACCTACAATGAAATAAGTAACAGAGCCAGTGACATACCTCTATAGAGGACTTCCCCACCATGCCAAGGAAGTTGAATGTGGCAGCATTCAAGCATTCTTTACCACCTGATTTTTTCACAAACTTTCCAATTTTTCTGTATGAAATTAAGAAACAAATGAGTTGATGTTTTTAATTTCATTTTAGATGGGAAACATGTTATTAACTTACTGTAAATATTTTTCTTCCATAATACTGAAAAAGCAACGACAACTTTTAACAACTTCTCGCTGTTATATTCTTTTTGTTTATCAAGGCAAATAAAATTGCTCAGTTCTACAAAAAACTAGCACTTTATCCACATAAAATATAAAACAATATATCCTTTCACTCCTGCATATAGTTTTATGAACAAAAGTGACTCATGCAATTGTAAAAACAAACAAAAAATTACTTCACAAATACCCAGCAAATTAAAATATCATAATTCTGTTCTCTTACCCTTTGACAAACCATGTAATCATAAGGATGTAAAATTATTTCACAAATAAAGTAAATTAAGAATCAAAATCAGTCTTTTGTTCTTTTACCCTTCCACTGTGTTGTCCTGGAATGCGCGGAGGGCAGGGTGGTCTGGGTCAACCTCGGGTACAAGGGGCTCTGGTATCCATTCCGCAACCAACTCTTCCTTCTCCTAGACAAATAGACCAAAGCACAGCATTATAGGAGATGTTTTAAAGCGCAATTCCACATTATTTATATTTACCTCTGTACTTCATTTCATTTACCATAAAACTTATACCATTCTGTTCATACTAATTTACAAAAGTAGTTTAAATCAATGCTTAAATACGCTTCTTACTATTTTACTTGGAATCAGTGAAAATAAAAATAAAAACAAACATACATGTACATGTACATGTATATGAACTTGACATTGAACCCATCAAGCAAATTTTTAGATACCTTTTCTGTAAGTTCGCTTGCTGTTTGTTTTGGTGGAGTTTTCTTGGTAAAAATTAACTTGATTATCCAGATGATGAGCAGGGCTTCGACGACCAGATGATAAACTGGAGCCTGCAGAGCATAGAACAAATCAAACAAAGACATACTATAAAATCTTGTCTCTGATTATCAGTCCTGCTGCCTTTGCAGTTAACCTGACATTACATTCATATTTTCAATTTTTGTCTATAACTATACATGCTGGGATAGAAATAAATAAAGAGAAATAAATTGCCAGCGCTACCCCAATACATGTGCTACAGGAACTTGTGTAATGTGTTGAGAGAAAGATTATCACCAAGCATGTGCATACTTTGGGAGGGTAATTATTCGTAACAAATGTTAGCATATGAGGCCATATAACTAGTGAACTAACCACATCTAGCAGTAAGGTATCAAATGTTCTATATTGCCAAGGTGACTCATCCGGCAACGTACGACTTAGTAGTATTTATAGTTTTGCATAACTCGCGTTTGACAACCAAGAAAACACCGGCTACTTTGACTACTACAGAATATCCCAAAAAGCCATTGCTTTCAATAATTTCCATATAGTTTCCCCTTCATCTATTTCAGCTAAGACGGTCAACACATGTTTTTTTTACCTGTATAAGTGCCTGATAAAGCTCATAAAAATCTGTGGAAGAAGGCACAGTCTTCGCCCATGCACTACCCATTTTGGTTTAAAGATGGCGTTACTGACCCAAGATGAGCCGCCTGCTGATCCATAAACTTCCATGCTCCATCGTACTTCTGCAGTGTACATGTTACTAGTATACAACAAGTACAAAAAATACACATTGAATGCAAAAAATAGTTTACTGACTTTCGCCCCCCCCCCACCACGATAAGACATGATACATTTTTACAACGATAATATTATCATAAAAATATAAACAAATATCGTTACAAGGTTATAAATAAATAAATAAATAATTTCAAAATAAGTTAATGAATAAATAAATAGGACAAAAATAAAATAATTGAAATAAAAGAAGAGAAAGAAAAGGCTGAATCACACCACTTTTAATTAAATCTAGTAGCGTAAAAGCTGACAATTTGGTTATAACCAAGAAAAAAAATACGCACTGACCCCCTGAAAACCCTCTACCAGGGCAACGCTAAAGGAGATCATTGATCATTAGATGTTCTCATATGGAAGAAAACTCTGCAGAACAATGTTATCTCAACTTATGTGTTATCGCAAGTTGCGTACCTTAGTTCCCAATCTAAAATCAAAAGTTTCCTACACGATATGTGGATTGTTAACAGTAAAAGTTCACAAATTGTACGCTAGAGTTTGTCAATCTCCTCTACAGCAATCAAAAGAACGACCGATTGACATTTTAACCAGTCACTTCTTTGGGATCTCAATAAAATGTTCACCCTTTTCACTTTCTAATTCCCTCAGAAGATTTGTAGACACTCAGCAGCGCCTCCCCCGTCCTGCGACCAGAAATTGCTTTAAGGTTTTCTTTAAGGTCATATAGGCCCAATCTACAGACATACACCCCATTTCCATAGATTTTAAGATCGATCTATCCCTGTGGGGAGTATCACTGGATTACTGTCAGCTTGACCGGCTTAAGCGTCTGTCCCGCCTACTAAAAGCTGTAAGGGGGTAATTAACTATGGTGCCCGCTCGGCTGACTGCAATTTAGCGTGAACCCCCAGGGAGTTAGGTCGATCTAAAACTTAATCTTTAGATCGATCTAAATCTCTGGGAAAGCACCCTTAAAAACGTTGATCGTTGATCGTTGAGAATTTATTTTTAAAAAGTATATGGCCGATTGTTTTTGCACTTCATTAAGGTGTGTCAAGAAGTCGGATAGTGAAATATTCACCTAGTTAGGTTTAATTTGAAAAAGATATAAAATATTATTCGTGACAGATTGTTTTATTTAATCATCATGAAAGTAATAGCCGCCACACGTTCTATTCTGTCTATTAGTTCAGTCAGTCAGTGAGGTGTTATCTGTAAGTAATTACCTGTAGCTAATGTCGTCTGCCGGCTGAAGTCAGTGGCAGGAGATGAGGGTGGATTTACGTAAATCAGAAAGCCCACATATCTCCATTGATATCAATACCGAAAAATGAAATCACACATTGACGTAAAAAAGGTAATTTGGTCGACATGTTTTATCTTAAACAACTATAACACCCAACTGTTCGTGCAGTCATGCAGCTAGCATGGATTAGCGAGGATTTCTATAGCTACATGACGTGCATGTAGACAATGCGTATTGTAAAGGAAGCGATTCCCCCTCAATATCGCGAGAGCTGAAATCCCAAGTATTTGATTAAATATCAACCGGAAATGTCTGCTGAACAACAAATTAAGAAAAAAATAAAGGTATATCTCAGTAGAAACTAGCCGGTCAATTTTAATTGACCTTAAAAGGCATTAACTGGTATTTAATATTCGGCATATACCTAACAGAAAAAGAACCCATTTATTGTTATCGTCCTGTCGAGTAAAAAATAATCTATCTCTCTCTCTCTATCTCACACACACACACACACACACACACACAGTAACTAATTGATCCCTCTCAAAGATTAAGGGCCGTCCATGGCAATTGAAATATCATACCTACGCACGACGACAGAGGCAATAACGTTATTTGATATTTTTTCAGCTTATTATCCAATCATTGCGATTTATCTGCGAGGAAGACCGACATTTTTCCTTGTTCTTATCTGAGCCCTGGACATCCAGGCGGTCATGACGCGATATACCTAACACCTGACATATCAATCCATCTGATGTCCCTGATTGACACGTTGCCAGCAGGGGGGACGCCAGTCACTCTCATAATGTCATTACCTAGATGTCATTTACCCAGTTGTCATGGCGAACATGCCTGTCGATGAAGGGCTCCCTATGCTATGGCATTGTCGTCGCTAGGCGAATGTCATAAATATTGTAATGCGAAGCATACGAAGTCGTTTTATTATTGTATTAAAATGAGAAAGAAGATATCATAGTCTTTAGGTTTACTGATCGTTTACGGTATGCTAGAGGCCAACTACATGTATTTGATTACCAAATTTCTCGTTGGACGGTAGAGAATTGTGTCATTTAGAAGCCAGAGACATATCTGTGAATATCTAGTGAAAAAAAATCACAAAATGGCCCTGGCGAAGGGTACTGATTATTGGAGGGGGGGGGGGGGGGGTCTCCTGTCCCGTCCGGCGACCAGGCCGGTTTAACGGTATATACTCTGCTGTCCCTCATATATGATTAGATTGAAGTAAGCATGCACTTTCCTTGTTGCTGTCACATAAGATTCAAGGAACCACAGTAGCCGACAATATCATATATCAATGCCACAGGATCCCAACCCGGCTCTTTTTGACAATGATGTAGGCCTACACGTAATTAAGGGCGGGGTGGGGGTTAGGTTTGACAACGCCCTGCTTAAACTGTCTTGGGTACAAAGCACAAGGAGCAAACAATATCGGTCATATGTGAGTGCACGGTGTCAATGTACAAAGTTCAATGAAAATGACTGTGATGCAATTATTCCATAAATGAGTAAGTATCACTATTGATGCACTGGTGATACCTGCACTTAAAAACAGGATGACTTCAAAAATGTAATCGATTTCTTTTGTTGCGTAAGGGACGCGAAATTAGTTCCCAATACATTTTCACAATATTAAGTTTCCATACAAATAACCAAAAACCCCTCGACAAATGGGGATTTTACTAGTATTCTACGCATTACTTTGTACACAGAAGGGGGATTTCCTTCCAGTAAAACCGGACATATGACATTTGACCTTTGAACCCTAGTGGGAGATTCCCACCACTTGAATTTCGTAAAAATTACGGGTTTGTGTTACTGTTAGATCGTTTTATAGGTGCAAGCACTATAGGTATCAATGCTTGAACCTCAAAAGAATGAGTTTACTTTCTAAGCATCAAATAAGAAGGAGAAAAACACAGAAAAATACGGTATCTAGGGACACAGCTCGCGCCATACTTACGATGTCATTTTGTTGAAGCTGACCAATCAGTGTGCAGGATTAGCGCACGCCCCAGTATCTGGGACATTCCTGACTTCCGTGTAAATGCTTAGTCAGCACTGGCATTCCAAATCGTCAGTTTCACGTTGGAAGTTGCACGAGAACAACACGAGTGAAAGATCCACGAGTTTTTCATAAGAAAGAGGAAGAATTATGACACGAGGAAATATTAACAAGGGAGCTGCACAAATCTCAAAAAGGTAAGAACATGTTCGTAAGTTTTTGTAGCGAATATTACGTCCCGATGTTTTAATCAACAGATCCATTGCTGTCGAAGTTGCATTCCATTGTGTACCTGCATGATGCAAGGTTTGCAACATTGTTTCTTTTTCTTCAATTCCACCATATATCACATTACAAAGGAAAAATAGTGTGAGTAGTGCATAATGCGAGAATTGAAGGACTTGACGAGTTCGTTTAAGGATTTTTGTTGGTGATTTTTCAGTTTACTTTGAATTGCACCGCGTGATAAGGCAAGTCATATGATAATATCAGGTGGCTCATGCAGGTATAACTAGCTGTTATGAAAAAGTGGGGTCAAAGTCTCCTTGCGTGTTACCTTCAAACGAAAGCGAATCTTTCTTCTTTTTACCCCCACATCAGAAATTGTTAGCTTGCATATTTGATCTTTTCTTAACGATGACTAAACCAAAGGCGCCGACAAATAATTGAATATAAGATTGCAAAGATCAATAAGTTTGTGGTGGGTGTTTTCTAGCGGAGGTATGGGAGGTATTCGTAGTATGTCCGTAGTACCTGACAGCGGACTACACAATGCAGCTAGCGGCTGTACGTGGTACACTGAAAGTCTTTGTGTGGATTAAGCTGCGAACTCGTACTTGGGGGGAGGTATCACTGAATGACACACGCTGTTCAAATTTCCGCTGGAGTTTTCTATTCATCGGGGGGAATTTGGCTGATAACTGGGGTGATGATTCACGTGGTGTCACTAGGTTTTGAGAGATAAATTTGCATTCTGAGATGAATGTACGCATTAACACTTGCTGGTCACAGGGTCCATAGTGCAGGAATACCTTCGGACTCGGTGGCATTCCAAAAAAAAAGTGTTTTAAGTTGAAATGTTTGGTTTTGAAATATGCTCCAATGCATTATATTTTTATCAGTAACTACAGAGAGGAATTATTGAAAAATACATGCAGTTTTCTTATAATGAGGCATTAACTCGGATTAGATGTATCAGTGGCATACGTACTACATATAAGACAAAGCAACATCACGGGTTCATGTCGGGGTCACGGGGTAGATAGTTTGGACATGCGCACTAGGTGCACCTCGTGAATTGATTGAAGTGAACTTTGGTGTCTTACAAAGAGGTGAACTCGTTTACTACTGCGTTGGCCAACAAAGCAGTCAGAACAGAACGAGTGCATAGGGGGAGTGCACAANTTAATACCATTTACACTGGATATACAAGCAAGTCGGTTTTGAAGATATATAATTTAAAGTGGAAGTTTTTTCTTCACATTTTTAGTCCAAAAGTTCACAAATCATGTTTCTTACTTTTTCACTCATATCAGTGGGAGATATCCATTTTAGCGTGTCTACTGTGGCCATGAGATGGTAATTTATATTTTCAGATAGATATTTTAGTTTGACCATGTTCAGTAATATTATCCAAGATTTCACAATTGTATGGAACTGTTTGCTGAATTGTAGGTGTAGGTCATTCACTAGGGTATTGTCAAGGAATAACTCAGATTTCAGTCTGTCAGGCTATTGGCAAATCAAGTATTTGAAAAGTTTTTCACTGAGAGAAAAGGGGACTAAACTTTTAAATGGAAGAAATATTTTAATGCCTAATCTTTAACTTCAGATGAGCTCATGGGGAAGCTGCTTGACCTTGTGAAAAGAACGCTTAAATAAAGCTTGTTAAGATACTATCAGCTTGTTGTTTTATTTACAATAACTACTTACATTGACCCCAAAGTGTTCTGAGATTCCTTTTCCTGTAGCACCAAGGACTCCGAATGAGAAGCTCTCTTCAACAAATAACCTTACTTTGTACTTGTATTTAAATTCAATCTGAAAAAAATGAGACATATTAGGCAGTCTTTTACATGAACACAGCAACTACAAACTACCATTTTTCATTTGCTTCAACTATCATTCTATAGTAAATCATATTTTCATATATGTGCTGAAAGGTCCAAACAAGCACATTTCACGTTTTTATACTGAAATTTTTCTTCGCGAACTACACTATTATGGACAATTTACTAGATGAAGTTCAGTAAATCTGTTTTCAATGATAGATCTTACATAACCAAGATATAGTTACCAGCTGAGGCAGTGGACACAAATCTCCATAGTTAGTATACAGCCCCTCCACTACTAGGAATCTTCTGGTGGCTTTGGCTTTCTTAGGATTCTAGAATGTACACAGATTTCCAAATGAATTCCTATTTTCAACATTTATTCATAACGTGCATATATCCCACCAAACTTACTCTGTTATATACCAGGTATTAACCAATACTAGAACAAATTTTCAAAGAATGACGAAAAAGTGGGAAAAATATGGATATAATGTTTTCCAGGTTTTGTTTTCTTTGAGGAGAATGTTTATTAAGAGTGGACAATTAAAAGTACAAAACTATCTCAGATATGACATACAAGTTTATCTTTGGCCTGCTGCTCCTGCAGCAGTCTCTCCAAGTCGTTCATATCATTGTGTTTGAAGAACCTGAGGGACGACCTGGAGGCAGACAACCCTTTCTGGATGGCAAAATTCACACCTTCGTCACTGGAGAGACAAAAAGTTGAAAGACTTATTTTATTACATAACAGCAGAGTAAAATGCTCTAAGCATACTTTTTCTTGGCTGGCAAAAAAACACATGCATTGCATTTAAAATCTAATTTTCTTTTTTCTATTAAATGGGTATATTCTTCCTTTTTTTTTTTTTTTTTACAATTTTATCACAGAGAGAATACATGGTCAATCATTCACAAACATGAATGCAAACCATCACAAACAAATTATATTAAAAGTATGAACATTAGTCATTCACTTTACATTTCATCTTTTAATACCAAACCACCACAAACAAAATATATTTTCTTCTCTCACCAAAATATAATATCCCCTCTCTTAGAATAGGCAGGTATGGCACTAGCCACGGTGGCAAAGCCATAAGCATACAAGATGGCCTCCTCGCACTGCATGAACTTTGCCAGGCGGTCCTCCAGTTCAAGGTGGACATCTTAATGAAGAAAAAAAAGAGAGATGAAAACAAAACATTAAATACATTAGAATTTATATACAACAAACAGTTTATCCAAGGGATTTTGTCTTTAAGCATTTTCATACTGAACGTTCTATCTTTAGCCTTGTTTTGAGAGATTGACAGGTTTATAGCTCAGTCATCTATATCATACGTTAGCCTAGCTTTCTTTTTTAACTTTGAATATTTAATGTGGGACAAACATCTTTTAACCAGGGGGTCCATGGGCTGCCTTCAGAAGTGAATAAAAAATTACAGAATTCTGTAATTCAGTACAAAACCTCATGACTGCTATAAAGAGCTCCCATACTTTGTGTGGCCAATAAATAAACACTAACTATCTAATTTCCATAGAAATTACACCCAAACAGAAGGAAGTAAACTTGTGAAAGAGGGTTAACTCCATTGTAGGGTTATTACATGGCTGAGGCTCTCAAAACATAACATGAATATAGAACATAAGACATGAAGAGGCCTTAAATTTCTTTACTACAAATGAGACCACTTGCCTATGTCGATTGTCTTAATGCAAAAAAAGTATCAAAATTTAATCAACATTGATAATGGACGTACTTATATAATATTGTACCTAAAAACATCTATGATAAAAGGACAGTTTAGCACTGTGTATAAATTGAAAGAATCACCTGCCATATGAAATGATATTTTGAAGTTAAATAACATTCACATAAATTCCTCTGCATTAACATTTAATATGTGCAGATCATCACCACTGCTGCCTTACCCACTGTCCCATAGAACCCGCGTGGACCACATGACCCAACGCCATACTTCCTCAGGGACTTGACAGCAGCCTCCTAAATACAGTACAAAATACTGGTCAGAAATAAAGCAAGTTAGAAAATAAATTGAAAAGGGGGATAATATTGCAAACTGGTAATTCTTAAAATAAATGACATCTGAATCTTGTCAATCTTATCTTGAATGATGAAAAAAGCAAATAAGTCATAAAAAATTTACAGAGTGAATTTCAATGTACAAACCTGTAAAATTTCCAATAATAAACATGTAAATAAAAATGTAGACATTAATTATAGTGTATACCTACAATGAAATAAGTAACAGAGCCAGTGACATACCTCTATAGAGGACTTCCCCACCATGCCAAGGAAGTTGAATGTGGCAGCATTCAAGCATTCTTTACCACCTGATTTTTTCACAAACTTTCCAATTTTTCTGTATGAAATTAAGAAACAAATGAGTTGATGTTTTTAATTTCATTTTAGATGGGAAACATGTTATTAACTTACTGTAAATATTTTTCTTCCATAATACTGAAAAAGCAACGACAACTTTTAACAACTTCTCGCTGTTATATTCTTTTTGTTTATCAAGGCAAATAAAATTGCTCAGTTCTACAAAAAACTAGCACTTTATCCACATAAAATATAAAACAATATATCCTTTCACTCCTGCATATAGTTTTATGAACAAAAGTGACTCATGCAATTGTAAAAACAAACAAAAAATTACTTCACAAATACCCAGCAAATTAAAATATCATAATTCTGTTCTCTTACCCTTTGACAAACCATGTAATCATAAGGATGTAAAATTATTTCACAAATAAAGTAAATTAAGAATCAAAATCAGTCTTTTGTTCTTTTACCCTTCCACTGTGTTGTCCTGGAATGCGCGGAGGGCAGGGTGGTCTGGGTCAACCTCGGGTACAAGGGGCTCTGGTATCCATTCCGCAACCAACTCTTCCTTCTCCTAGACAAATAGACCAAAGCACAGCATTATAGGAGATGTTTTAAAGCGCAATTCCACATTATTTATATTTACCTCTGTACTTCATTTCATTTACCATAAAACTTATACCATACTAATTTACAAAAGTAGTTTAAATCGATGCTTAAATACGCTTCTTACTATTTTACTTGGAATCAGTGAAAATAAAAATAAAAACAAACATACATGTACATGTATATATGAACTTGACATTGAACCCATCAAGCAAATTTTTAGATACCTTTTCTGTAAGTTCGCTTGCTGTTTGTTTTGGTGGAGTTTTCTTGGTAAAAATTAACTTGATTATCCAGATGATGAGCAGGGCTTCGACGACCAGATGATAAACTGGAGCCTGCAGAGCATAGAAAAAATCAAACAAAGACATACTATAAAATCTTGTCTCTGATTATCAGTCCTGCTGCCTTTGCAGTTAACCTGACATTACATTCATATTTTCAATTTTTTGTCTATAACTATACATGCTGGGGTAGAAATAAATAAAGAGAAATAAATTGCCAGCGCTACCCCAGTACGTGTGCTACAGGAACTTGAATAATCTGTTGAGAGAAAGATGATCACCAGGCATGTGCATTCTTTGGGAGGGTAATTATTCGTAACAAATGTTAGCATATAAGGCCATATAACTAGTGAACTAACCACATCTAGCAGTAAGGTATCAAATGTTCTATATTGCCAAGGTGACTCATCCGGCATCGTACGACTTAGTAGTAATTTTAGTTTTGCATAACTCGCGTTTGACAACCAAGAAAACACCGGCTACTTTGACTACTACAGAATAAACCAAAAGGCCTTTTTTTTCAATAATTTCCATATATTCTCCCCTTCATCTATTTCAGCTAAGACAGTCAACACATGTTTTTTACCTGTATAAGTGCCTGATAAAGCTCATAAAAATCTGTGGAAGAAGGCACAGTCTTCGCCCATGCACTACCCATTTTGGTTTAAAGATGGCGTTACTGACCCAAGATGAGCCGCCTTCTCATCCATAAACTTCCATGCTCCGTCATAGGCCTACTTCTGCAGTGTACATATTACAAGTATACAACCAGTGCAAAAACTACACATTGAATGCAAAAAATAGTTAACTTACTTTCGCCCCCCTCCCCACGATAAGACATGATACATTTTACAACGATAATATAATCATAAAAATATAAACAAATATCGTTACACGAAGTTATAAATAAATAAATAAATAATTTCAAAATAAGTTAATGAATAAATAAATAAGACAGAAATAAAATAACTGAAATAAAAGGAGAGAAAGAAAAGGCGGAATTACATCACTTCTAATCAAATCTAGTAGCGTAAAAGCTGACAATTTGGTTATGAACAAGTAAAAAATTAAGCACTGACCCTAAGAATACCCTCTACCAGGGCAACGCTAAAGGAGATCATTGATCATTAGATGTTCTCATACGGAAGTAAACTTTGCAGAACAATGTCATCTCAACTTATTTGTACCTTAGTTCCAAATCTAAAATCAAAAGTTTCCTACATGATACATGGATTGTTAAATTTCACAAATTGTGCGCTAGAGTTTGTCAATCTCCTCTACAGCAATCGAAAGAATGAAAGAGAGATTTTAACCAGTCACTTCAATTCTTTGGGATCTCAATAAAATGTTAACCCTTTTCAATTTCTAATTCCCTCAGAAAATTGACTTTTCTTTCAGTCAGCGACTAGAGGAGTACAACAGGAGGTGGGCTCAGGCCTCACTTGATTATATTGTAGACCCTCAGCAGCGCCTCCCCCGTCCTGCGACCAGAAATTGCTTTAAGGTTTTATTTAAGGTCATATATGCCCAATCTACCAACTTAAAAAAACGTTGATGATCGTTGAGAATTTATTTTTAAAAAGTATATGGCCGATTGTTTTTGCATTTCATTAAGGTGTGTCAAGAAGTCGGATAGTGAAATATTCACCTAGTTAGGTTTAATTTGAAAAAGATATAAAATATTATTCGTGACAGATTGTTTTATTTAATCATCATGAAAGTAATAGCCGCCACACGTTCTATTCTGTCTATTAGTTCAGTCAGTCAGTCAGTGAGGTGTTATCTGTAAGTAATTACCTGTAGCTAATGTCGTCTGCCGGCTGAAGTCAGTGGCAGGAGATGAGGGTGGATTTACGTAAATCAGAAAGCCCACATATCTCCATTGATATCAATACCGAAAAATGAAATCATACATTGACGTAAAAAAGGTAATTTGGTCGACATGTTTTATCTTAAACAACTATAACACCAACTGTTCGTGCAGTCATGCAGCTAGCATGGATTAGCGAGGATTTCTATAGCTACATGACGTGCATGTAGTCAATGCGTATTGTAAAGGAAGCGATTCCCCCTCAATATCGCGAGAGCTGAAATCCCAAGTATTTGATTAAATATCAACCGGAAATGTCTGCTGAACAACAAATTAAGAAAAAAAAATAAAGGTATATCTCAGTAGAAACTAGCCGGTCAATTAAGGCATTAACTGGTATTTAATATTCGGCATATACCTAACAGAAAAAGAACCCATTTATTGTTATCGTCCTGTCGAGTAAAAAATAATCTATCTCTCTCTCTCTATCTCTCACACACACACACACACACACACACACAGTAACTAATTGATCCCTCTCAAAGATTAAGGGCCGTCCATGGCAATTGAAATATCATACCTACGCACGACGACAGAGGCAATAACGTTATTTCATATTTTTTCAGCTTATTATCCAATCATTGCGATTTATCTGCGAGGAAGACCGACATTTTTCCTTGTTCTTATCTGAGCCCTGGACATCCAGGCGGTCATGACGCGATATACCTAACACCTGACATATCAATCCATCTGATGTCCCTGATTGACACGTTGCCAGCAGGGGGGACGCCAGTCACTCTCATAATGTCATTACCTAGATGTCATTTACCCAGTTGTCATGGCGAACATGCCTGTCGATGAAGGGCTCCCTATGCTATGGCATTGTCGTCGCTAGGCGAATGTCATAAATATTGTAATGCGAAGCATACAAAGTCGTTTTATTATTGTATTAAAATGAGAAAGAAGATATCATACTGGTCTTTAGGTTTACTGATCGTTTACGGTATGCTAGAGGCCAACTACATGTATTTGATGACATAAATTCAGTACCAAATTTCTCGTTGGACGGTAGAGAATTGTGTCATTAAGAAGCCAGAGACATATCTGTGAATATCTAGTGAAAAAAATCACTATATGGCCCTGGCGGAGGGTACTGATTATGGGGGGGGGGGGGGTGGGGGGTCTCCTGTCCTGTCCAGCGACCAGGCTGGTTACACTGGTAGGCCTAGATTGCTGTCCCTCATATATGACTAGATTGAAGTAAGCACTTTCGTTTTTCCTGTCATATAAATGCCAAGGCCCCACAATAGCCGAAAATATCATATATCAATATCACAGGATCCCAACCCTGCTCTTTTTGACAATGATGTGCACCTAATTAAGGGCGGGGTGAGGGTTTGGTTTGTCAACGCCCTGCTTAAGCTGTTTATGGTACAAAGCACTAGGAACGAACAATATTGGTCATAAGTGAGTGCACGGTGTCAATGTACAAAGTTCAATGGAAAGTGACTGTGATGCAATTATTCCATAAATGAGTAAGTATCACTATTGATGCACTGGTGATACAGTACCTGCACTTAAAAACAGGATGACTTCAGAAATGTAATCGATTTCTTTTGTTGCGTAAGGGACGCAAAATTAGTTCCCAATACATTTTCACAATATTAAGTTTCCATACAAATAACCAAAACCCCCCGACAAATGGGGATTTTACTAGTTTTCTACGCATTATTTTGTTCACAGAAGGGGGATTTCCTTCCAGTTAAACCGGACATATGACATTTGACCTTTGAACCCTAGTGGGAGATTCCCACTACTTGAATTTCGTGAAAATTACGGGTTTGTGTCACTGTTAGATCGGTTTTATAGGTGCAAGCATTATATGTATCAATGCTTGAATCTCAAAAGAATGATTTTACTTTCTAAGCATTAAATAAGAAGGGGGAAAACACAGAAAAATACGGTATCTAGGGACACAGCTCGCGCCATACTTACGATGTAATTTTGTTGAATCTGACCAATCAGAGCGCAGGATTAGCGCACGCCCCAGTATCTGGGACATTCCTGACTTCCGTGTAAATGCTTAGTCAGCACAGGCATTCCAAATCGTCAGTTTCACGTTGGAAGTTGCACGAGAACAACACGAGTGAAAGATCCACGAGTTTTTCATAAGAAAGAGGAAGAATTATGACACGAGGAAATATTAACAAGGGAGCTGCACAAATCTCAAAAAGGTAAGAACATGTTCATAAGTTTTTGTAACGAATATTACGTCCCGATGTTTTTATCAACAGATCCATTGCTGTCGTGGTTGCATTCCATTGTGTATATGCATGATGCAAGGTTTGCAACATTGTTTCTTTTCCTTCAATTCCACCATATATCACATTACAAAGGAAAAACAGTGTGAGTAGTGCATAATGAGAGAATTGAAGGACTTGTCGAGGTTGTTTAAGGATTTTGTTGGTGATTTTATCAGTTTACTTTGAATTGCACCGCGTGATAAGGCAAGTCATATGATAATATCAGGTGGCTCATGCAGGTATAACTAGCTGTTATGAAAAAGTGGGGTCAAAGTCCCCTTGCGTGTTACCTTCAAACGAAAGCGAATCTTTCTTCTTTTTACCCCCACATCAGAAATTGTTAGCTTGCATATTTGATCTTTTCTTAACGATGACTAAACCAAAGGCGCCGACAAATAATTGAATATAAGATTGCAAAGATCAATAAGTTTGTGGTGGGTGTTTTCTAGCGGAGGTATGGGAGGTATTCGTAGTATGTCCGTAGTACCTGACAGTGGACTACACAATGCAGCTAGCGGCTGTACGTGGTACACTGAAAGTCTTTGTGTGGATTAAGCTGCGAACTCGTACCTGGGGGGAGGTATCACCGAATGACACACACTGTTCAAATTTCCGCTGGAGTTTTCTATTCATCGGGGGGAATTTGGCTGATAACTGGGGTGATGATTCACGTGGTGTCACTAGGTTTTGAGAGATTGATTTGCATTCTGAGATGAATGTACGCATAAACACTTGCTGGTCACAGGGTCCATAGTGCAGGAATACCTTCGGACTCGGTGGCATTCCAAAAAAAAGTGTTTTAAGTTGAAATGCTTGGTTTTGAAATATGCTCCAATGCATTATATTTTTATCAGTAACTACAGAGAGGAATTATTGAAAAATACATGCAGTTTTCTTATAATGAGGCATTAACTCGGATTAGATGTATCAGTGGCATACGTACTACATATAAGACAAAGCAACATCACGGGTTCATGTCGGGGTCACGGGGTAGATAGTTTGGACATGCGCACTAGGTGCACCTCGTGAATTGATTCTGAAGTGAACTTTGGTGTCTTACAAAGAGGTGAACTCGTTTACTACTGCGTTGGCCAACAAAGCAGTCAGAACAGAACGAGTGCATAGGGGGAGTGCACACTATTTTATTTTGCTGTTATGGGTTATCTGGACACATATGGAAGGGGACCATCACAAGAACTTGTTAATAATAATGCAGCACAACACGAAAGAACAAAAGAAAGGTATATGTTGGATATTTACTGACAAAGCTTTTGTTTTAAAGGTTTGGTAGGTTTCAACCCTCAACATTATGAACTGGCCGATGTTATGTTATAGAACAGTTTGAAATTGTTGTAAAGGTGCAAATTTCACATTGTGTTACATTTACTCTGGCGACAAAACTTGAACGATTTTTTTTTATTTTGCAGTGGAAGAACAATGTCACCTATGGACATAAGGTCAGCTCTTCAGACCTGTTTACTGGAGGCCTGGGAGCAGGGCCGCCTCACGTGCGGTGTGTACCATGCAGCCAGCATGCTGGAGAAGTGAGTATTTTTTAATATAATTAGACAATACCTTTTATCAACAGATTATCCATCGAAATTCAGTAGATCCCTATTTTGGTTTAAGGTATTGGGCACCAATTAGCAGTTCTAGCGTGCGTTTGTTTTTAATGAGTTGGTTTAGAAGCGGATATTAAAATGAGAAGAATTAAACTTTATTGGTTCCAAGAAAGGGAGAGAGTCCGCATTTCACCGCTGCGTGATGTGTGCAAAGTGTGAAGAGCATAAGTGCCCACGTTTACCGAGAAGGAAGTAACTTTATTTTTTGTTAATCGCTTAAGCTAAAACGCAGCACTCTGACCTTGATAGGCACGTAAGTCGTGACATTGAGCTGGTAACAAACAAGATGCCACCCACCCGCCTGTACTGTTACATGCAGTAAATATTGTCAATTAAACGTTGTTTATTCTTTTTTAGGAACCCCGATGAAGTGATGCTATGCGTGCTAGCAGACGACAATTTTCAAGACGTGGCTTTGCGTATTCATTTCACGTTGTTGGAGGCGTTTTGTTGGGAGAATGACATCAGAGTGATTAAGGTGAGCTTTAACACGCGCTTGTTAGCGATTGTTTCTTCGTGATTTAGGCAGATGCGTGGTCGTTTAACGCATTCTTTGCATAACATTATAAGAGATAGTGCTAGATACGAGATAAGCGGAGATGTGAGGTTCCTTAGATAGACTCAGTTCTGAAGGCTTTATCAGGGGGCCAACTCTGGTGTATAGGCTTATAGAGATAAAAGGTAACATCTGGTAGAATTACTGCAAGATAATTTGATAGGGGTTCTATTGTTTGTATCGTAAATGTCTCCCACATGGCTGGCGAGGTGGTCCGTCAAAAGAACAAACGATCATAGATCAAGTGGACATTTACGAGGAAGGAGGTGCGCGTGACAGCTGAATGCAAATCTGTAAACAAAGACGAAAGACAAATAGGGGCACGCGCCTCGAAACTTCTGATCACCTGGGAGACCCCTATCGTAACAATAGAAAATACCCAAACAAAGCTGCATGTGCGTAGTTTATGGCATCTCACTTAATTGAATAGCTTAATAGCACGTTCCCACTGAGACAGGTGTTAACTGCCTCGCGCTTAATCTCTCATACCGTGACCCCGTGTCTTGTCGGTACAGACCGGCTGCGTCTGGCTGGATCAATAGCTCAGCGTGGTACTAGGTAGCTAAGGTCAACGTATGGTCAACGCCTCGGTGTTATATATGGCGTTATGCAATAAGCAAGTTATATATAAAGACGGCGAAGGTTATAAGGCATATTATATTAAATAATTATGATACGCAGCAATTTTACAGTGGATGGCCCGTAAAATGACTATAAATTTACCAGATGTTATTTTTTACTCTGTTTTGATATTATAATTTTCACATCATCATCGTCTGTAAATAGAATTTCCGCTATGAATAATTTAGGATGTTTAGGCATGTTATCGTTTTGTTGGAAGAGTTTGTGATTCCCACGCATTGTGTGGGCCATGCGCGTCATTGTCTCTGTGGCAAGGGCGCTTAGAACACGCGAAAATGACTAGATATATTATTTATCACGAAAATCACGGTACAAATTTGTAATTAAGATTGCTATAGGATAAAGTATTTTTCTTCGGATGAAAACTCCCCTAATCCTATACGCCAATCCGAGGTGTTTGTAACTATACCACTGTATTAATATATTGATATATTTGTGACCTCTATAAGGAGAAATTGTTATTGGGAACATTATTTACTCATCGTGCACATTTTTGGATGTTTTTACAGGTGGATGCATCATCAAAACTAGCCAATCTTCTGGGTGATGGTGAACCCGTCAACGACAATGATGTCGCCGCGGGAAGAAGTGCTCGACAAGGCGACTTCAGCTGTGTTCTGATCGAGGTAAATAAAACGTAGATGTTTACTCTATTTATTTTCAAAATAGTCACCGACCTTGAACAGTTAAGAAGTTCCTAGTTGTTATGTTTGGTTTTGTAACTGTACCACGCAGTACACATGTTCGAAGACTAAGTGTGGTGTATTGAGTATTTTCAACTCGCGTGATGTTGTGACATTGCTTTTCCTCTGAATGTCAAGTTAAGAAGCCTTGAAGAGACCAGACGCAGATTCGTATAACCGCTAAACACGTGTACGCAAAAATTAAAAATATACTATTATATATATGGCTTCTTCAGTATTGCGGTTACCGTAAGCTTATTTGTTTACCGTTTTGATTCCAATGTCATTTGACATTGAAGAATACTTCTTCAATGTCAAAGGCAATCGGTTTTAGAGATTCGCAATGCAAGACTGTCTAGTCAAAATACTTATGATGTTATTCTTTTTTGCAGTATCCAAAGGACGACAACAGTGTCGCAGATGAAGAAGTTTTAGATTTCTACAAATCCAATGAGGATGTCTTGCCAAGGCCTGTAATTACACTCCCAGACTGAAATAATGTCACAAACTTCAACCCTTAACACAGCGCTCCATAGCCGTGCAGATTTCATATCTTTCACGCGCGTTTGGTCCCTCGGCCTATAGGAGGACTTATTTCATTAGTTTGACGCTGGAGGCGCCATAGGTATCAATGGCGTCGTGCCGAACAAGAAAACCTCTGCCCAATACCATCCACAGTCTCAATGGACAGTATCTTCTGATGATCAGATGTTGCAAGCCCAATTAACAACCCAACGGTACTAATTAAAGAACTGAATAAACAGCCTTATGATGACGAAGTCCCTAGCAAAGACTTCAACCGAGCGTGGTTCTTTGACATTTGGGGAAAACATTTGAAACAATTCCACTTAATGAGACAACCTCTGAGAATATGACATTATGTAAATATTAATTTGTATTACAGCTGATTTAGTGAGATCGTTGTGATGTTAATATTTATTTCCAACGCCGTATGTAATACAGCAATCGTGCTACGCGGCAGGCCGCGGTTTATTTATGAGCACTGACACAGTGCCACTTTATTTAAAGAGATATCATGCCCATTACAGAACTATTTAAGTATTGTAATATATTTATTGTAAACTCCGTGTGTTTGTCATCCGCATAACGTCACTATCCATTACAAGAGTAATATTATTATTGTGCAGGTACGCATAAAAGATTTAATAAAGAGAAATATTGGACATACTTATTCTTTGTGTTTTGACATTTTGAAAAATATAACGCTGTCTTTATAAAAGTCAACTGAAGATGGAGAGCCTACAAAAACGAACGGCTGTAGTAATTACAGTTTTAATAATAGATTCAGGAGGCTCCAGCGGGTAAAACAAATTTTCGATCTTGTAAAATGATAACTAAATATATAAAAAAATAAATAAATAACCGAAACTATTCTCACATTAAATATCAAACGGTTTGATTTATAACTACAGTAGGTAGAGACATGAGTTGAACATTTCGGACTGGTTTCAAATTTCATATTTTTTGCCAAGTCATTTCGGCTCAGGGTCTTATAGTGATGTTTTTTTTTTTTTTTTTTTTGCTGTGGATATACGGTTAACCACGGTCTGTTTCTACATCTTTCCTACAACCCGATATTCTCTGAGATTTAGCTCGGTTCTCATGCTAATCACAGGCAAAACATCGAGTGTAACGTTACTGAACTGAGGGAACTGAACCGACTGACTGAACTTCGTACGTAATGACAGAACACAATGTATGTCGTATTAAGTCAAAGGACTGATATATGAGCGAATTCATAATAGTGTCTAAAAACCGAATAAATGCACATTGACATCGTTCAGATTTAGAGACCTTTCCTATAGAGACATCGGCCTACGTTGATCGCCCAACTCTGCAGGGATTCTCTTTACTATAAGTCCCATCAGCTTAACAGATCAACGCGTCTTCTCCTTAGACTACCTGGCGTTAAGTAGAGTACAGAAAAGCCGGTGATTATACGAACACGGNTTTTTTTTTTTTTTTTTTTTGCTGTGGATATACGGTTAACCACGGTCTGTTTCTACATCTTTCCTACAACCCGATATTCTCTGAGATTTAGCTCGGTTCTCATGCTAATCACAGGCAAAACATCGAGTGTAACGTTACTGAACTGAGGGAACTGAACCGACTGACTGAACTTCGTACGTAATGACAGAACACAATGTATGTCGTATTAAGTCAAAGGACTGATATATGAGCGAATTCATAATAGTGTCTAAAAACCGAATAAATGCACATTGACATCGTTCAGATTTAGAGACCTTTCCTATAGAGACATCGGCCTACGTTGATCGCCCAACTCTGCAGGGATTCTCTTTACTATAAGTCCCATCAGCTTAACAGATCAACGCGTCTTCTCCTTAGACTACCTGGCGTTAAGTAGAGTACAGAAAAGCCGGTGATTATACGAACACGGTGGAAACAAGAGGAGGTGTCTCATTCAATTAAGCTGATTGCACTTAGCAGGGGACCCCGCGGAGTTGGGTCCATCCACGTAGGCTGGTGGTGTGTCTATGGGAATAGATTCTTAAACATCGTACAAGCTGGATTGATCCAACTTTGTAGAAACATTCTCACTATATTGAATTCAGTGTAATCAGCTTAATTGTCTAACGCGTCACCTTGAGTAGCTAGGGGGTAATTAACTGCTCGCGGCTTAATTACCCCCTGCTATCAGTTCGGGGAGGTGTTTCACACATTTAAGTCGTCAGACATTTAAGCTGTGATTGCACGTAGGGTAAGGGTGCTTTCCCAGAGATTTAGATCGATCTAAAGATTAAGATTTAGATCGACCTAACTCCCTGGGGGTTCACGCTAAATTGCACTCAGCCGAGCGGGCACCATAGTTAATTACCCCCTTACAGCTTTTAGTAGGCAGGACAGACGCTTAAGCCGACCAAGCTGACGGTAATCTAGTGAGACTCCCCACAGGGATAGATCGATCTAAAAATCTATGGAAATGGGGTGTAAATCTCCCGCAGAGTTGGATCAATCCAGCTAGTACGAGGGTTTCATCTGAACGCTCCCATTGTCTTTATTTACATTAAGGCCTACATCAATGCAGGCACAAGTGCGAGGAAGGCCTCTCGTGTACCTTAGACTTCATGATGATGCTTCCCGAGCACTCATCAACCCTCAGGGATAGACCGCCAGAGACCCAGTTCCCAGAATTACGTTAGAAAGACATTGACCTATAGTGATGGTTTACGTTCACTTAACACCATGCATAATTTACTGTCATAATATATCCAGTTAAGTAGCAAAAGCTCCATGAATTAAACATCAGCAGTAGTAGAGTGCATGTAAAGGAAGGGCAGGACGTGATGTTGTTACCTGGGACACGTTTTTTAAATTAATTTTCGTTAATTTGGTCTTTTGTCACAGAATGCACAGAACATTATGGCAACTGCGTGCAGTGGGAGGTCCTAACTAAACAAAATAAATAATAGAAAAGATAGAAGTAATAGTAATGATAAATGAGAATTAGTGATAAAATAAACATATACACGTAGAAGTGAACATACATGGAGATATACTCTACGTTCACCTTTAACCGAAAAAAAAACGGAACTATAATACGGAGAGTTAATGAGAACAATTCACCTCACTTATCAGGGGTCCGCACCGCAGTTGATCAGTTCTGAAGTCAAGTGTATTCCAATAATTCCTGGAGGCCTGTTTCCAGGTAGTTCTCAACGAGTTTCCTGGAAAACAGGAGAGGCTATAAGTGGAAGGAGGAAATTGACTGAAACGAAAAAAATGCATTACCTGGGGTAGTGCAAAGAGCTTTAAATCTTTATTTCTTTTGTTTTCTTTCCTTTTTTTAGTAAAATTGTCCTTGCACATGTATTGTGTGATAGAATTTCATGTGCTGGTGTCCCGAAGAGACTGGGAGGCTGTGAGAAATACTATGAACCCAGTGAGAAATGTCACCGTGATGGGTCCCTTAACCACAACAACAAACAGCCGTGAGAAACCGTGATATGTCAAGAATGATGCTTTGGACTTGGCTTAATATATAGACACAGCTCTGACAACGTGTGTTATAAAAATAACGATGCTGGTATCACGTAGCCGCGGTAACGGAGTCGACTTGAGGTGAAGTAACAGTACACGAAATACACGAATAATGTTGTCGCGTAGGTGCAAAGACCGCGTTGGTTTGCATCAACAAAAATAACTGACAGTGATTCGGAGCACTTTGTTCTTGAAGCTATGGTGTTTATGCAGAATGTACTGTTAAAATTCATACGCCTACGCTGCGAGGTAGGTTGTTTGCGATAAAACTAAACGATGACTGATACAACGACATTGAGGAGGAATATGGGTGATATTAACACTGTTAACCAGCCATTCGTGAAAAAAAACAACATCGAGCGTTTAAGTCAACGAAGGCTGACAAGACAGAGGGATGCGCGCCTCTTAATCTTTTAATCACTGCACACCTGCACGTCTGATTCACCGCGAGTTCTTAACCCCATTCACTTGAATTCCCCTACGAACACAGGTGAGCACCAGAGCGTCTTTTATCTATGTCAGCGTCGGTCCAGGGTCTTCTGCTCTCCCTCGTGACCAACAACAATTTCTACTTCGCTCCCTTGTATCTTGAACCCCATCAAACAGCATTCGTGGGTCCTAGCTTGTATATCCGGTGTGCTCGCCCAGGTCCACTTTGCCAATTAGCCTTGCTTATCAAATATTTAAAGCAATGCGGTTACACCTCCGCCCTCGTCTCACGGGAACTGCTGGGCCTTTCTTCTCGCAGACAAAGAAGAGCAAAAGTGCCAAGTGAACGACATTGCGCTGTGGTGGATGATTCACTGTTCCCAACACAGCCACGCCGCGCACTTTACGCTGAGTAATCATACTTGCGCTTATTCCACCCTTGAAACGTACAACACAAGAGTGGTTTCACTTTCATTCCCTTCTATCAAACAATTAAATAGCCAACTTAAGTGTAATGAATATCATGTTTAAAGGTTATTACCTGCCATTTGGCACTTTGCACCGGAGCCAAGGGCAAACTTTTTTATGATAAAAACTTAGCAGAAATAATTTATTATTTGATTATTAATACTCATTTTTTGAAAATATTCGAATATCTGGCACGTATTTTTTACAAATACGCACAGAAAAATAGAAACCTAACGATATATCATGGCGTAATAAGATTTCATGACCGTGGGAGTGTGATTTCCCCAAATTGCGTGCAATGTAAGCTTCTCAATGGAAGACCGTCTTCCTACAAAATAACTTATTCTATAAGCCTGTCACAGGATAAGCAATCTCCTGGTCCATTTGTACAGTAAATATATACATCTCTGTGCTTAACCCAAGAGCATGTCTACGACACATCGTTTGGAATGCAACATGCATTGCCAAAGTCCATGTGTTTTTAAAAATCTCCTGCTTAGGCGAAATGCTCTGAATGCATTCTCATTTGAAGAAACCCCACCAGTTTTCTACTGCAGAGTGGTGACATAACGATAACAATACCTCACGCGCTGATATCCATGCGGTTTTTGCAACAACAAAAACATTTTCAGATAAAATAAATAGAGTGGTTACATATAGCGGTAACAATACCTCACGCGCTGTTATCCATGACGGTACTTGCAACAGCAAAAACATTTTCAGATACAATAAACAAATAAATTATACACGTAATGGGTGGACGATTTGGTGGACAGATAATTAGATAGACAGAATCGATCCATTGGCAGATAAAGTGACTGACGAGGTATACAGGTAAAAGCACATTCCTATCGTAAGATAATGGGAACATATTAGCTTGTACGCTAATTAGTGGTAACATTAATTGCGAAATGCACTCATTTCAGTGCACTTAATCCGACATCTACAGGTCATGCGTTTGCCTGGAAGAAAGAACGAATCGTGAAGTGTGTCTGGGCCTTTCGTGACATGTATCCGATGTATGTACATGTACATAAAGCACCTGTTACGTGTCTCACAGGGATCAGGTGCAAGTCCACTGTCAAATTCGGAATTCTGCAGTATTAAGTACATATTAAATGTCTCTGAGGGCCTCAATTTTTTTTTTTTTTTTTTTGATTTTTTGTAATGAATTTTGGTCGAATCCGCCTTTTTTTTTTTTGAAAATTGGGGGAAAGGGGGGGGTAACTAGGAGGGGGGGCTACAGGGTCAATGCCCAGTTGTATCACTTCAGTAAGTAAGATAGGCATACAGATAGATGTCATCTTAGCTACTTGTGGCTGCTCTACCAGGAAATAATGGATTGAAAGACGTCCGAGGTCATTACATAATATAGCCGGGTTATAAGATTAATTTTTGACGTCTCTTATACTGTACTGTCCTAGTAGTACTGTCCATAGTATAACAGATAACAGTATCCGTGCGTAAGCGCCACCGTAATTTCCCCTCGCTACTTCACGGCTGTGTAGCAAACGGCATGATAGCAATCTTTGCTGCTACACTTCTGATGCCCGTCCGCGGTCAAAGCGACGAAGAAAACTATCATAATATTAGGCTGACGTAAAATAATCGTTTCCTTCTATCTGATCTGGATCTCTTCCATAGGTTTTTAACGTGTACTCTGACTTGCACCGAGTAAATAGGCATTATATGGTATTTGTTGTGCTTTGCACTAAAACACACTTTGTACTACATGACACCGGGGGAAATGCATGCACAATAAGACGGCACCGTTCTGGACAAGTTTATCTGTACATTTACAAGACATATTTTAACTTTTTGAATATGTATTCAAAACTGAGAGCGGAAATATTGCGCTGGATGAATACATTCATAAAAGTTAATTGATTGACTGGGTAAAGTAGAAAGGTACACGGTTTTAACAAAGAGATTTGCTATGTGCCCCTTTGAGAGAGTGCGTTGGCGGCGCTCCCTTTATTATAGCTGCACCGTGAAGCACCCGAATCGATACCTTTGGCATACGTCCCACCGTATATTGGCTCTTGGATTAAAAATAACAACTTCCTGGCAAAATCAGAGCACGGTGTCGGTGACATAACAGGGTTGCACTGACTGGCAGGGTGTAAGCCGTCCTTTGGGGACTGGGTCCTTGATCTAACTTGACAGTCTCACCGCAACATTTCCTGCCCTTCCCGCAAGTCTCAACTAAAACTGCACAAAGACACGCTATAATTAAGACGCAGTCAGAAAGTGAGTGCAGGCAAAAGTTATCTTTTAAGGGCGATTTTTTGTTGAAGCCTACACAGAGTTTCGTGGAGGTTGGGCTAACGAGTACACTTATTGGTGCCACTTCCAATCCGTCAGTTAATCTTGGACATAATACTTTTTATGTCCAAGGTTCAATGTTTCACTACTGGACCCCCCCCCCCCCAAAAAAAAAATAAATAAATAAATAATAAATAAATAATAAATAAATAATAAAAAAAAAAAACTTTCAGACTCAAAAAGTAATATATACGGAAATATGATCCTGGCCAGGTGGGATCTTTTCATAAAAATCCCTCATACCGACCTGGTATTTACCCAGGCCCTTGTTCGAACAGACTTTAATGAACTATAGATAACCGCGTCTGGTATATTCCTCTGGGATTCCCCTCATCACTGAGTCACATGTCGTACGTCCCGAGGTCTATCTCGTGATATCTCGTGCTTTCCACGTGAGGAGTCAGGCATATGAGTAAAGATATGGTCGCAAAATTACCGAATATTGCGATAGGGACTTTCCAAATTGCTGGGCCACATGTACTTCCACGTCTCACTAAACTACCGGCTGAACTATATATATACTTTACCATAATAAAAAGTTAACTGTTATCACATCAGGGAAGAAACCAAAGTAATAGGCTAATATTATATAACAATAATTATAGATCAGTGAAAAAAAGGAAAATAGAAAATGAAAAAAAAAAAAACAAAAACAAAAACAAAAAACACGGCTGGTGCGTAATCTAGTTCATTTCCAAATTGTAAGTGGCATATATTTGGCCACCCCTTAAGAAAACCGGTTAATGTTAATGTTAATGTTAATGTTAAACAAGGATTATCTACAGCGCATAGGAACGTCCCTAAATAGTTGCATTTTTTATATTGCTTTATGAAAATGTTTTTCAGACACTACTAACATGATAAAATGGAAGCCCATGGGTCTAATTGTATATATGGCTTACGTAACCTGACCATAGGCTATCCTTTACTCCTTTAAATAAACAGGTAACAAATTGGCCTCTCATAGAGGATGTGTCCTTGTTCAGACATTTTACCTTAAAGAGGGTATTTATGCTCTCAGTGAACCATTAAAACGTAATTATTTACTGAAAAGTATAACCCGATAGTTCTTAGCCAAGTCCTGGCACGGTACAATATTGTCTATCCTAGTTCGAGTTCGGAGAAGTCAGGTCGTGAACGCAGTGCATCTGCATAACATAAAAACACCTGACCACGTGACCTGCTGTTATATATACAGGCGGCGAATGAGGTGAACTCATTTTCAACTCAGTAAGCGAGCAGACAGCGTTACAGCGCACAGCGCAAGTGGAATTTTACGCGTTACAATAAGGATATATTTGACACGATTTCATAATGGGCTACCCAGAGTCATTGGGAAGTGTTTCCTATGTTCAGATGAACAATAACAACAACGAGATGACATTAAACGACGGTGTTAGCAGGTAGGTGTATATTACCGTGGAGAGCGCTTTGTTAGATCAGCTGATCGCAAAGTGTCGGCCATATGAGCGCTTTTTTTCCGTACAGTGTAGTTTCGCTTTAAGGTAATTTAGCAACAGTTCTTTTTCTCTTGTATTTTTAAATACTTGTTAGAATCAGCTTGCAAGATATGGCTTTATATATATTTTTCGTCTAATTTACAGCACTCTTATCTCGTCACCGAGTTCTCAGGACATTTGCACCTCACTGCAGCAGAGTGTGGTGGAGGCGAGGAGAGAGGGTCGCATTACCTGCGGCGTTTACCAGGCGGCAAGGGTGCTAGAAAAGTAAGTTTTGATTCCTGGATAAAATGTGAATAAATGGTGTTAAAACCACGACATGTTTTAGTGATGCACTTTTGTTGCAGATACAAATTGTCGATGTCAAAGATTTACACGGCCACCATACATGCTTTATCGCTGATGTCACGAGGACATAAATGGTTGAAATTATTTCGCAAACCATGTTTATTCTAAATTTAGTTAAAAATTAGTGTTCTAACGACTGATAATGCTTGTTGCAGCGACCCTGATGACGTGATGGTGTGCATCCTGGCAGCAGACACCTCACAAGACCTAGAACTCCACATTCATTTCACGCTATTAGAGGCATTTTGCTGGGAAAACGACATCAAGATAATTAAGGTGAGATATTTAAGATAATAATACCTCACATGCTCTTGAATTTTATCTCACTTAGATAAAGCGATTCCGACATTCTTTGCGTGCTTTAAGAGTCCTGTAACCCAGACATATGGTTCAGGTAGACAATAGCAGAGAGGTGCAAACAGCTGCGTTGCGAGGGGTGCCAGCTATTGTAGTTTGGTATCATGATTTTATTATCCTTGGGCATTTGGGATCCGATTTTTGACAGGAGGTATACGCTGGTCACACTTTTGAGAACAAAGACCGGCAGGTGATCGGGTCCACACAATGACAGTAGCACAAAGCAAACAGGAGGCACGCGCCGGCTTAGATCACCGTGGTCCTATGAGTACTGGTCAAACAAAGAGATCAGGGCTTAATCGATCAGCTGGCATGTCCGGCGGTATTGTTATCAAGGGAGATGATTAGGCGGAGCTGGTCAGACAGAGATCTGACCACCATATCTTATTGTGTGACGCTTTAAATGATCGGTTGTGGTCAAATGGTCTGTGCTCTAATACCAACCCAAAACGACCCCCGGTGCCTGGATGGAGGGTCTTTGTGTCTGCGACCCGGTAAAGGTTGTTCCGGCGTGCCAGGTCTTACTGGCTTAACACGGGTTGATTACCAGTTTTTAAGGTCGTGCCCCAGTTCATTGTGTTAGATAATACGTTTATTTTTGCCATTACCCCAAACTTCTGGACACTGACAAGGTGGCATTTCTTTGTCTTGAATGGAAAGTTTATTTTTGGTATTACCTTTAGCTATTACCTTAAAGCTGAGGATATTTCAAGGATACATATGTTTACTGGTTATTAAGTCGATAAATGCCCCGGTACGGCTAGGTGGTGAACTTCTTTCCTATCAAATGTCTTGGTATTTGAGGTAAAAGTTACACAATAGATTGCTTGTCCTGAGTGAAGTTTTATTTATTTGTTTATTTATTTTATTTAAGAAACACGTCCCGACAAGCCGTGTCCTCGCCGTCGGGTAGTCTGAACTTAATCGATCACTGATACATGTTTTCGGAGTTTGTTGTTGTTAATAGGACATGTCTGCTGGGATTTTGCCTGTGAACCCATGGAGATATTCGTGAAATTTTTCTCCTCTGGAATTCGTTATTGTCTTTGTCACTATGGCCTGTACTCTGCATGTTGCACATGAGTCTAAAGGGGTTAATTTATATTGGAGCCGTCCGTGACGGAATTCGATGAGATATTACGGGCATTATCATATGATGCTAGTCAGGAATTGGGTGAGAGTTTGTGCTTAATCTACGCGGGTGCCGTGTCTGTGCCAAGGCCATTCTCATTGGTTCTTGTGTTCAAGTTTTACTCTTTCGCATCCGGGATTCCTGTTAGAAATTTTAAACCGGGAAGTGAAATGTGTTGACATATCCAAAAAATGTGCAAACAGAGGTGTCTTATATAGGATATGTCTTATGCTTTGTCGAAATAAACAAGTCGCCATTAATTAATCAGTTTAACTGTTTACGTATTCATTCTATGAAGCTCGATCATTTGATATTTGCCATTTCGTTAAAAACATGTTTACAAGCAAAGTGCCTTGCTCACGGTCCCACGCTTTTTTGTTTTCTTTAGGTCGACTCGGCATCAAAACTGAAGAAGTTGGTCTATGATGACAACTTGCCAGCAAATGACAACGATGAAGCAATTGGTCACAGACCCGGGACCAGGGACGTGGACTGCGTTTTGATCCAGGTATACATTTAATGCATTAAGTTCAGTTTTTTCAGGGTTAAGTCGGGTCGTGCGACGGGATATTTCTGGCTGTTATTCATTGTAATATGGCATTGGTGGGACTTCCTTGTGTATTTTTTACAAGAGAAGCAATCGCATTTATAAGGTTTCAATGCCACGTGTTTGCAGATTTTTCAATGTCAAACTTATTGGATATATATCTTCAGGGTTAGAAAAGATAGGTTTAATTATATTATTTTAGATAAAACTGATGACTTGAAGTAACCACATTATTGTTGTCAGGGGTTGCTTTCTACTCCTCAGCTCACCGTAAAAGTTTCTTACCTTTACAGCTAGGTTAAAAATCCTTCATGATAACACCCGAATTTGGATTGAAAAACACCATTTAACAACTTGTATTTCATGTCAATATTCTTTCTACTTTCAGTTTCCAAAACAACAAGAAAGTACTTCAGACCAGGAAGTTCTAGAGTTTTACAGAGCAAGTGAACAAATCCTACCGAAGCCAATTATCGAACTACCAAAGTGAAGTGAAAGGTGACATCGTCATCGTTTCACCTCTGCGTCCCTTGTGACGTATTAATATGGTCATTTGTGTGCCCGGCTTTAACTCCAGCCTGGTGCATGGCTTCGGAAGCCGTTAAGAATTAAGACCCCGTGGACGAGGCAAAACTCAGGGGTTCTCGAGAAGCCTTCCGCCACGAGCCCAAGTGACCATCATGGCGACACCATGCAAACCTTGAAGAGGACTAGACCTATGCCCACTGTGGGTTAGACTTCACCACTGTCACATAAAACTGTTTGTCACAACGATGATGCAAGGCAACAAGACCAAAACGCCTCGTTGACAACAACGTGACAACTGAACAGCCACGAGAACTGTGGGTTTCCAAAGTAACCTATTCATAGGTTGCCCTTGAATCTACGTGACTGATCGCTGACAGTTATTACAAAATTGACTGGGCTAGAATATGATACAGACTGGTAATAAGACCACAGAATGCGAATCTTCTGACCCTAATCAATATTACAACCAGTTTTTAAAGAATATTACAGAATTGTGAAAATGAGCGATCTGACACTTTTTAAAATATATTTGACTTTATCTATAGTACAGTCTTTCAGAAATGAAGACATTTTAACATTTTTTTTATTTAATATGGAAAAAATAAATATGTGTGTATTGAAGCATTCTCTTTTTAAGTGATTGACTACCCTTTGGGTTCTCCAACGTGGAAATTACATTTTCAAATGTTCGTCTTCGTCAACGTAAGAGCAATTTGGAGACATAATATAATTATCACTCCTACATGTGAAATGTCAGGCAAAATATTAGATGTAAAAGTAACTTTCAAAACGAAGGATCGATTGTAGCATGGAAAAACGTAGCACTTTTATTTACGTATTTGAAATATATTTTTTGTGCTAATATAGCAGGTATAAAATGTGTAAATTTAAGTGTTATCGCATTTTTTTTTGCCACCACGATTCATAGTCCAAATAGTGCTAGCATGATAGTAAAACGCCCTTAAGTATCGTTGTTGACAACACAGAGGGGCAAACTATTGATAACTGCTATGAAAAAAATTACCCAAATTATCATATCTGGTAAGAGTGGAGTGAGCAACCTATAATTTGAACCTTGTAATACCTGTAATACAGCTTAAATCATATCACAGCGTCCTTTGTCTTCTCTCAACAAAACCACGCTCCAATAACTGAACAAGGTTACTCAACCGACCTATATTTTGACCTGTGCTAGTTTTATAACAAGTATTTCAACCCTCGTGCAACCACGCGCGCTGCTGATAAAGCTCTAGTCATGAAAATGTGATATCACGGTTTTCGTAACAAGGCAAACCCAGTGCAACGGGCAAAGGGGAATTATTTTGGCTTTCCGCTCAGTTCGTGCTACGCCAATATATTGTAGAAAACAAATGTTGTCACGATGCTGCCAAAAAAAGGCCTCCAAAGATCGCGGATTCCTGACATGCCCTTCATTCCATTTTTAATGTAGTAGATAAAAATACAGCCGCTACAGTACTGTGCCCCTAACAGCTGATTCACTGATTTATGTTTTCCAAAATATATCAACCGCCAAAGCCCTGCCAACTCTCACCCAATTCATACACGTACGGCTCAATTCTAATAAATGTCCCTGATTATAAATCCTTGCTGCACAAAAAAAAAAAAAAAAAAAATCATAAAAAATAACGATTTAGTGAAAAACACCCATT